AGGTGATCTCTTGGCTAGTAGGGAGAGTTGTAACAAAAAAAAAAAAACCGATGGAAAAAAGAAAAGAAAAGAATGCCATATCAAGACACAAAAAAGTACCCAGCTATTTACGGGGGATAGCAGATAAAAGAGCGCGGACCTTGAAAGTGCCGGTACAAGCGAAGCATTATGTTTCTTAGAAACCTTGGACTCTTGTTTCCCGCCTTATTCCTCACGATGCCCCACGAGTAAGATAATATGAGGCTGAATAAACCACCCGCATCTTTCAACTCCAAGTTGATCATCTCGATCCAAAGTGTTCTCAAATGCAGCACCCGTCCTATTATATGCGGGGGGTTCAGAAAGTCGGAAAGGGAGGGCATACCAGCATTTAGAGTTGGAAGAGCTATTGAACAAAAGTATCTCCCAAACGCTTGGTCGTTGGTCCATTTCTGGTGCCTTCCCCCGGCCTCATCCCTGTCTCCCCTGTCTCCCCTGTCTCCCCTGTCCCCCGCTCCTTAGTCGCCTTAATAGTGCAGATAGGCCGTTGCTACCGGTAAGAGTTGGAGAAGGGTAGACTACCTGTATTCATTGGCCAGGGCTCGACTGCCGCAAGAAAAACTTTGAATCCCTGAGCTATTCCTACCGATCTGATTTCCGTATGGAGAACCGGCATCCAGCGACACTCGAGAGTTGCTTAAGTGTCTGATAGCACTTTTTCTTTCTCGCGATCAAAGTGACTCCTTCCCAGTCGCCGACGTACCGGCCCGACAGCACACGGGTTTCTTAGACCCTTTGCATCACCGCGATACTCGTCATTGGAAAATTCGCAGGGTGCATGAATGCTGTGTGTAGGATATCCAATGGCTTCCGCTGTACTACGGGAACACTCGAGCAGTTGAACCAATTCTCGTGGGTATACATATCGCCTAAAATGTCTTTATCAAGTAATAGATCGCTCAACAGGGAACCCTGTTGAGCAAGCGAAATCCCGTTTGTCTCTCCTGGAAGAGAGCGACACGCCGCCAAATAAAGCGATAGCTCATGCATAGGGGCTGCCTGTAGAAGTTTCTTCTGCAAACCCTCATTTTCCATCAATAGTTATTAGCCGGAGCTGTGATGCTTCGATGCTGCGGTACTTGGTCGCCAGGATGATAGAACCCCATCTTACTCGAGATACTGTACCCCATTATGCGGCTCTCTGGAATTAAGAGCAAGGCGGATGTGTGGTGCATGCATATTCGTAAGCAGGATGCAGCATAAGGGAAGCCAAGCTTTTAGCAGCGGCTCGGAAAAACGTTGGTGTTACTTGAAGACGGAAAACGTCTTTTATGGGGCCCGGACTAGTCCCCGTTAAAGGCTGACGACAGAAAGCAGTTCTTTTCGAGAGTCTGATACTGCGACATGTCTTTCCCTAAACGCTATCGAGACCGGCAAAATTCCTTCCCAAACCGCTTCTGACATGCCCCAATAGAGCATAAAAAAAGGGTAGAGCAGGGAAGTTGCTTTTTCCCATTGAGCCAATTAGGAACCCAAAGAACCGCCGTAATGATTTCTTAGGCCTGTGGATTGGCGATACCCCACCGATGTCAAGAATGGAGGGAACCACCTCAGTTCACCCACCAAAAAATTTAGCTGGAAAAAAGTAAGTAATATACATATCGGGCTGTACTCGAGTATTCACTCGTGAGGATCATTCAATGCCATCGAGATTCTCCGATGATCAGGTATCGAGCTCGAATTTGGGCGTAGCGTTTAAGTTAGTATGATGCTGACGCCTCCATCGAAGCTCGTCCCATAAAAAGCGCAGATATCGACAATGTGGCTCTGTGGCTCTGTGTTGGCCACAGAAAACTCACGCTCCAACTCTGATGATTCGTTGGAGGTCTCTAGACCCTAGATAGCCGATTATCCGCCAAGCTCAAATTTCACCACTTGGGCTTTACTATGACACAAACACCGATAACTAGATCCCAAACCCTAGCATCGCCTAGGCGGCATTAGATACTTTGGGTTAGTAAAAAATTGTTTCTGCTGACCCAATACAATTCTCTACAGAGACAAGGGCTACGTCCTCTGGTTTTTGGTGGTCCCCCCGAGTACCCTCTGACTGTCCGAGAGGATGGACTGAACATCTACCAGTACAGTGCGTAATAGTAACTTACTATACTCGAATAAGTGACAATGATGGGGCAAGGATCCTGAATAATTAGCGGCTGTGCCAACCTTCAAAGAGCCCATGCTGCTATAGCCGGGCGTAAAAAGGCCGGAAATTAGTTTGGGTTGGGCTCGTCAGCCCCGGATGCGGTAGGAGTGGTATTTGACGACAATCGTAAGACAAGCATCACGAGAGCGCGCGCTTGCGATTTCAACGTGTTGAGCTGAGGTCACCCGCCAACCTGGCTCCCACGTTTCGAATCTTTGGACCCTGGCACTATGGCAATCCGATCTGATATTCTAATATTCTAATGATGCTTATTTCTTCTCCGAATCCTTGAGATATTATTGTCAGAGCAAGGTAAATTTAGCAATGTTAACCTTGGGCTCAGCCGTAGATAACACATATCCACCGCGACGATTATGGGGTAGAGCGGAAACAGCATATTGGTGCCTTCGTGCGTTCGGAGTCCGGGCTCCAGCGTAGGTACTAAGCACTCAAAGTAAGCGGAGGTAAACACTGTGATGATTCAATGAAACCTGCAATAATGTAAGGCTAGTGTGCTTCATTTCGCTTAAATCCTAGATAGAGAGTCGTGCGCCCTTTTCGGCCCCGGAAACTTTCTCGTCTCCGGAATCCAGAGCTGGAGTTTCGGGTTTAGGTAGGTCATATCGCAAGGTGCCTTGCACACGTTCTGGTATTGCTGATAGGAACGTGGCTATCATGGGTAAACATGTCCCAGGCAAAAAACATCCAGAAACAGGAATCCATAATACATGTTGCAGAAGCTCGGTGCATATCTGAGCGCCCATACAACTCTTCAACCCTGTTTTCGGATTCCTCTTTCCTGGGACAAGTATTCTTGCGAGGGTGTGATTGGCTGTTAAGTAAATTAATGAAATCTTGCTGGCTTTCCTGGAACGCAGATTTTACCTTCCCCCTGGAGGTTGCTTTTTTTAATTTGCAGAGAATTATCCATCGCAACCGTACTTTAGCAGATAATTTCGTCTGGCAAAGTGTTCATGGCACTCTCTAAAGCATCCTTGGTACTCAAGCAATGGAAGTCTCAGGCATGTCAGCATAGAGACTACTTGAGCACCGCCATTGGGGTCGAGCTGGCCCTGGAATCTGAAATCTACCCTAGGAAAGCGACCCTTGTCATTTAATTATCTCTGACATCCCCCGAGGGACTGTTTGGTATGCCGTCTATCTCCAGCCTCCCACTTACAATCACACTGCTCTCTCTTGCTAGTGAGAGGCTCTGGAGGGAAAAAAAAGGGGTGTGAGTTTCCGAACAAATTATTCTGGTCATGGGTTCAACATACTTGAATAGATCCCCCTTAGCTCATCCCCGGTTTTCTTTTCCCTCTTCAAATGAGCGAGATTTCCGCCCTCCATGCAGTGCTAAATGTTGAATATTTGATGAAGGAAAGGTATGACTTAATCTGGCTTCTGGAATGCTTGACTAACTAGTGATCAGGGAATGAGAGAAAATCTTGACTAGAGAGCTGTTCAAGGGAGGTTTAGCCTAATACTACGGCTCGGATGGTAAAGGAGCCATCGGGAGTGAAGCCAGATTGATGAAGGGCCCTTGAGTGTCAAGGTGATAGAAACGTTACTTTTTCAATAAAGAAATAGAGACCCAAGTGGATTAATCCCTGCCGAGAAAGATATCCCGGCCTGGTTTAGAGAATTCCTTCGCTGAATTATCCGTGATGCCTTAATCCTCAGCGAGAGTGGGATGAAAGAGATACCGAAACGATGGATCGGGGTAAGTTTGTTGCACTATGCTTGTACCAAAACCGTCCAGACCACCAGCCACACCTGCCTGACGTCAATCGGAGCAAACATTCCAGCAAGCAAGCACCAAGTCTCCCAACAGTCAAGCAGAAAACTCCCATCCCCCGGGGATTCCCCCCAATAAATAACCAGTTGACGAAGTCCCCTCTTTCATCCATCCATCCACCGAGTACGAATCCCCAACGTCCTGTGCGAGAGTAACATCGTAAGCGTCGCAAAGAAATGTGTAAGCCATGAACCAGCCAGGCGCTAGTCTCCCAATCCCAACCGGAACTAACCACGGGCAGATCTTTCCACGCGGTGACTAGTAGCTATCCCAGTAGTACCGTGCATATGGGGTTTAGGTTGTTACCCGTGGCAGATCTCTGCATGGTCGAAATGGCACTTATGACAAAGCTAAAGCTTCTGCGGGGCGCGTCGGGGCTCTCGCGCTTGTGAATAGTTTACTGTGCTAGTAGGCACTGGGGTGAGGGGGGACGGATTAGGCACGGGTGACTGATCATTGGTTGGTCTCTGTGTGGTAGGATAGATGAGTAATCAGAATTTGTGGGGGTCATTGAGAATCACTCGGGAGTAGTGTTGGACGTAGTCCTTATCCGCCGTCCGTACAGAGGTAGTTTCCTTTTCCTTTCCTTTCGTCATAAGACTCATTTTTTGTACCTCTTTTTACTTTTTTATTTTTAGTGATGATTGACCCAAATTTACCCCCGAAATCGGCTCAGCGGAGTGAGAATTGTGTGAAAAAAGGGGAAGGTTCATAAATTTAGAGCTATAGTATCATACCGCAGAACCTCCACAGCTCTGCAAGGAATCTGGCTCTGTGCGTTAGGCGGGGCAAGGCGGGGGACGGTGCTCAGCAATGCATAGAACTTGTACTCTACGGTAAGAAACAAATCCCACCGGGCACCTCCCGTACCATCCTTCTAAAGAGCTAGTCTCTAGACTAACCTCCCCCTATCCACCCCACCAAATAAACAGACTATGAAATACCCTCCTGTGGGAAAAAAATTAGTAAATTCGCAGGTGATTATTGGGGCTACGACGTGGTTCAAGTGAAGGCAATGGGCGCATGGTTTAGGGGTATAATATCTCATTCGCAAGTCTTTACGGACTGAATGTTGAGATGGTCCTGGGTTCGATTCCCAGTACGTCCAATTTCATTTTTTTCCACTCTACAGTCGTTGGAGATGGGGGTTTGGGAGAAGGGGTTATAATATGTGGGAAGAGATTCAGGTTTCAAGACATTTCCAAACTGGGCCTTCTTGTGTATCGTAGGGTTGCCAAGTAGTTGACAACGTTGTTGTGAGTGTTTGCGCAGTATTCTAAAGTTTTCCCTACTGTAATTTTTCTGTCGAGTGCCATAAGAGCTCGAGTAATTGGACCTTGTGTTAGGACGTTGGAATTGTCTCACCACGTATGGCCAGTGTTTTGTTCTTTTACTTGTCTTGGAAAACTGATTTTTTTGACGGAAAACTCTCAGAATACCCCCTCGGTAAGGGACAAGGGTCTAATATGCCCCACACAAACCAAAATGCTCCTGAGGCCAAGAAACTTTGACATTAGTTTTCTGTTTTCTCTTTGCCAATGCAGCCGTATTCCTAAATATTTTATCGCTTTTCTTCCCTCTTTTTGCTCACTTCTTCGTACGGCCTTGCCTCTTTCACTCTTTCTTTTTTCTTATTTCTTTATGCCTTTTCAGTTTCCTACTCTTCAATACCCGCCCCGTGTCAGCTACATATTCAACATTATGTATATTCATTCTATCTTTATGTGAAGGCCCATAACAAATAAGGACTTGTATATTAACCTAACTGAACATGCCAGTGCTGGCGCATGGCAAAAGTCAGTTCAACTAGTAAAATATTGGGTCAACTGGATAATTATTTGCGTTGTTGCTATGCTGTACTAGTATGCAAACCATACACGGTGTGGCATTCTAGTTGTGTGGGGCATATTAGACCCTTGTCCCTTCCCGAGGGGGTATTCTGAGAGTTTTCCGTTTTTTTAATTGTGTTTTTGACTTCCCGTCCAGAGGAGAGAATCCCGAACCACCCAGCAGACAGCCCGCCCATTCGAGCTCCCGCGGTGTGGTGTCTGGGAGTTGGTGGGCTAGTTAGCGGTGAGGCCCACTACAAAGCCACAAGGAGAAGTCGGAAAGTAGACAAATTGAGTTTGTGATGTTTGAGGGAACAATCGTAGACTAGATTGAGAATTAAAGAAAATTCAAGATAAATAATATGTGAAAAAAGAAAAGAAAAAGGAAAAAAAAGTCCTATAATAACCAACGAACGCCCTTATGCAATTTTTCCCTGCTTTTGGATACTATGTCATGCTCAACCAACCAAGCAACCAACCGGCCCGCTAATTTCGTTTCTTTATTTGAGACCTTAGCTCCAAATCACCCTCCGCCAATGACCCTGCAGCCTTGACCATCTGCACAACGTTGATCCACTGCTTAGCAGCGCAAATGGGAAACGTGACCGCCGCAACGATCCATGGCCAACTCCAGGAGTTCCCAACGATGGAGAACTGCGGGAAGGAGAGAAGGTACATGCTGAGAAAGAACAACTCATTCGCAGCGCAGAAGGTGAACAGGACTTTCTACAAACAAATCCCCCCCTCCTGTCAGTGGTCATCTCTGATTATCGAGTCACAGCTTAAGAATGGGGGGGGGGTGCGGGGAGAGAGAAAAAAACTAAAACAAAAAACAAACATTATTAGAATAATACAGGTTCAAAACCCTACTCATTTTCTTCTCAACCTTCTTGTGCGATCCGGCGCCCCGCTCTAACGAGGCATACATGTGCATGTAATGACTCGCCAGGTCCAAAGATATCAAGCCTTGAAAGAGAATCGCCCACTTGGTGTACGCGCTACTAAGAAAGCAGAGGAGGCATGCGGTGGTGCACCTATCCGTCACCATGTCGAGTACCGCTCCGAACTTCGTGCTCTGGTTGAACCGCCGGGCAGCCCATCCATCGAGCGCGTCGAGAAGGCAGGAGAGCGTGTACAGGAGTGTGCAGTAATGTGGGTGGTAGGACATGAAGTATAAGGAACAACCAGCGAGGATGATGCGCGAGTAGCCGATCAAGTTGGGGATGAAGAGGAAGATGTTTTCGTTGGTGGCAGTTGGGAGCGGCATGGCCTGATTACTGCCGTTAGTCTTTGACATTGTGGATGCTATTGTTGTGTATGTGGAGGAATAGAAAAGTAAAAGGAGGGAAAGAGTTGCCGTTGAAGGGGGTGAAAGGATGGAGGGGAAGGCTGAGGTTGTTGTTTGCTGACTCCTTAACAACACGTACTCGGGGGGGGGTCAGTAAAAACCGGAAAACTATTTCTGCCGATCCCATACAAACCTCTGTAGAGACAAGGGTTATGTTTTCCAATTGTTAATGAGCCCTCCGAGTAGAAAGATTTCCTCGATCTTCTGTGGTTCTCTGTCCGACGAGCTCGGGTGGAGATAATGAATGGGCGAATTGAAAATTTCCTAGTTTTTATTAGGCTTTCGTAGTTTCGTTTCGGTGACGGACGACTTGTGCGACGGGAAACGACAGGGGGGGTCTTGAGCTTTGATTTCGGCTTGGATGGTTCCGTTGAGCCTCATGACGTCGAGGGCTTGGTGGTGGTAAAGGCAATGCCTGCCAATGTGGAAGTTGCGCTATGATAAAGGGTTTGGGAGTCCTTCCTTTGATTCCTGCTGTGAACATACAGTATGGGTTTTGTGGTGTTTGTAGGAGTGCGGTCGGGGAGGATGCGAGAAAAACTATGGGGCTTAATGAACTCCTAAAATCTCTTGACCCTATTAAATAGGCTTTGGAATGTGTTCACGAGTGATCTACAGTGACTCTCATACCGGGCTTGTGCATTTGAAGCGCAGGGTATCGTACTCACAGAGTGCACTGTCTATCATACGCCTGGGAAATGTCTGTGCATCTTGGGCGCTGGGAGTGGTACTCAATACCTCTCGAAGTGGGCTAACAGATGACAGATGGGAATTTTTAGCACTGTGATCTCTGCAAAATTACCACCACATCAAATTCATTCAGTCTAATTCTCCAATTCAAAGTGTCTACAATACACCAGAAGAAACTGGATTGGCTCCACAAATAAGCAATTTAGTCTCCGAGCTACCACTACTAAAAAAAGTGTACCGAATGAAAGAAATGAGGAGAAAGAAATACTAAAAGTAAAAATAAGGTAAAAGAAGAATTTTTATAATCTAGGAACTGCTACTGGCCAATCGACCGCCCACAAACCCAACCGTCCATTCATTACAATGAAAACCTACGAGTTACGGTTCTGCCACGCCGAGGAAAGACTTTTGACAGTATCCACAACACCCTTTACCCCAGTAACATCACCCACAAGTTCATTCGTTGGGAGGTCCAAAGGCTGGCGCTTCAGCTCCTCATGCGTTTCATAAGTATTTTGCAGTCCTTCGTACTTCTCATGCTCTTCGTGCGGATGCGCGACTGGAAAAACATCTTCGTATACTTCTTCCTGTACATACTCAGCACGGTGTTCCTCGTCTTGGTTGTCGAATCTCTTGTCAAGGGCGTCCTGCGGTGTCTTGACTGGCAAACCTGGCGGGAACGAGGTATTCTCTGTGCGTTCAGCCTCTTCGAATACGGAGTTGAATTGGCTGTCTAGTTTTGCCTTTGTAGAGTCGATAATTCCTTTACTGAAGCCTCTACGCTTGACCTTTGAAGTAACGCCGCGGACGTCAGCGACAATTGCGGCAAATTTTTTGATGCTGGAGAGCGGATCCGACCGTTTCTTTACTTTTTTTTCTTCTCTTTCTTCAGCGATAGTGGCCTTTTCAGTACCGGGGAGGGGTGGCTGGGCGTCCGTTTCTTCGCGTTTGACTTTGTTCCCGCCGAAGAGACTACTGAGGATAGGGAGGCTTCCGAGAACGTCCCCACTGAGCTGTGCGTCCCTCCTGTTGAGCTTGGAGGTATCGCGGCCGCCGAGATTAGCTAGGCCTCCGAGGGGGAGCTTTTTCAAAAGGTCTAATCCGGGTACTTGTGGGGTTCTCTTCTTGTTCTGGTTTTGAATGTTGGATTCGTCACGGCTACCCAGACCTCCGATGATGGGGAGCTTTTTCAAGAGGTCTAATCCAGGTACTTGTGGGGTTCTCTTCTTGTTCTGGTTTTGAATGTTGGATTCGTCACGGCCACCTAGGCTTCCGATGATGGGGAGCTTTTTCAAGAGGTCTAATCCAGGTAATTGTGGGGTTCTCTTCTTGTTCTGATTTTGGATTTTGGATTCATCACGAGCACCCAGACCTCCGAGACCACCCGCTAGTGGAAGGCCGCTGAGTGCTCCGGTCGCCGTGCCAAGGCCTTCCATTGCAGCAGCCATACCGAGTGTCATGCCGTCGTCGCCGGTAATGGGCTGTTTTGGATTTTTTTTGAGTGCTTCAGCGGCTACTGCAGCGGAGAGATCCCGCGCGGTCGATGGAGTAGCCGTAGCGGCAGCAGCAGCAGCAGTCGGAGAAGCGGTGGATGGAGCAAGCGTGGGTGATGGTGATTTATTGTGAAGGTCGAACTGCTGGTTCCCTTCCTGGGGAACCGGTGCAGCGGCCGCTAATAGTGTAAAAAGCGAGAGGAGAAGAATGGGAGTTGGGGTAAGCATGTTTGCTTGCTAGCAGGGCTTTTCGCAAAAAAGAATGTATATAGTTGGAATATTGAAAAGGGCGATCCGGTAGGGGAGGGGTTAGTGAGAGTATAGGTAGGGAGAGTCTGAAGAGTATCTGTTTGTCGCTGGAGAGAAGAGATGATTGGGAAGGAGTGTGAGAAGAGTATATAATGAATCCATTCCAGTTGGCGTGCTGTACTTCAAAACGTAAACAGAGGAAGTGGCGGTCAAGAATGCAAGAGCGGAGATTAGCAAAATTGCTGATCTGTGAGGAGGAGAGGTTACGGAACCGCCCTTGCTTCCGATATTTCAGATGGATACTGTCTGGTGGTTTTTATTCTTTTGGAGGAACGAATGGGAGGTTGGGCTTTGTGGTTCTGCAAGGAGTTTGTCGATCAGGAACAAAACCGGACTTGCGAGAAGTGAGTGTTGGAGCTATCCCCTTGCAATTATCTTTCTGGGAATCTAAGGTTGGGATTACCGATTGGTATAATACCAATAAAGTTCAAGCATTGTG